AGTCTTGTGTGTATTTTAAATTAGACTTATTATTATTATGAGTTGGCAGGTTATGTAGATTAGTGATTTTGTTTGGTCTCCTTTAAACAGGTTATGGAAATAATATCAGTTTTTTAAAATACTGTGCATATCCAATGATATTGTCTACCCTGGGTACCTGCAGCATATTGGAATAATGGCCCTTTTCAGCCAACAATTGCCTTCGAAATAATTTTGTCTACATTACCTGCCATTACATGGGATGAATTTGACCAATTTTGTTCTCCCATATACAATGACCTACTGACGCAAGGTAAAGTATGTCCATGGTACAACCTATTTGTTTATTTATATGTCTAATTGCTATCAGTCAACACATTGCATTTTACCATTGACAACAAAAAAATTGTCAACAATTCACAAATTGCCCCAGTTTTATATGTATGTTGAATTTCTTTTGCGCTGCATCTAGCCAACCGTGCTAATTGCAGGTGCGGATGTTAAAACGTTGAACTTATGAATTAATTTAGATGATATAGTACAGCAGAACAAAAAAAAACAATGTTCAATAATCCATAATCCTATCATTTCCAGCGTCTCCACATTTTGCAGCAACTCCTGCAATCTGTAGGGCGGAGATTCTAAAATATTGAATTTTGCAGCGGATTAAAAAAAATCGGCGTGGCGAGCTACCAAGAAGCAACTGCACTGCAACAAAAAAAAGCATTCCCATCACAGCCTGAAGCGATTTGTGTGATATAAGATATGGAGAGAGATTGCACTTCAGAGAAAAGAATTCAGATACAGAGAGACAAACGGGTACATATATTGCTTGACAAATGGAGATACAAACAGACATGGAGATGCAAAGAGGCAAATAGCGATATGGAGAGTCACAGAGATAGATATTATTTGGGTCTTTCGGTAAATTCACGTAGATACCGAAAGACCCAACGAATGTGAATTCCTGCAGTCACGAAAGCTTTAAGTCAACACAGAGATAGAGTAAAATCGTGATTCAGAGAAACAAGTACAGACAACATTTATTGGTTTACTTCGCTCAGACTCAATGTGCTAATGTGATTTGTTGCATAGTTAAGGATTTTTTTTTTACTTTAGACCCCCGTGGCAGATTAGCTCCATTATGGTTTTATAAAAAAAAATTTGTGACATTTCTAAAGTCTGCAAATTGTTCACAGATTATTGGAGTCGCTAGTTACATGCTGCGTTCCTCCTATAATCCGCATTTTTTCTGCAGATTAATGGAAATGCATGGATATGTATTGTTGACCAGGCAAAATATTGGGATATGTTTTTGCAGATTTTAGTTTTATTTAACAGATTAATTGGGTTTCACTGTACTTGCATTTTTTACTTGTATGTGAGCTTTTTTATTCTAAGAATTTCGTGTTTAATGTAGTTTAAAAAATTGCCAGGCTTGAATGTGATGGATTAGCTATTTTATGTTACAGCAAGCCCTGTCAACAGCACATGCTCGCCTGCCATTGAAGACTGCACACACTTTCTCCAGTAACAAGATATTTTAAGCCCCTGTGGAAAAATCATTGCACTTGGCACAAAAACACTTTCCAATCAACACTTTTTAACTAAGGCTCAGCCTGTTTCACTGAACGTTGTGTAACACGTCGCGGTGCTGGAGAGGTTGGTCCATCATCTGAAAGCTCGCGATGCAGTGAATCTGAAAGCTCGCGATGCAGTGAACAAAGACGGTCACTGCATCGCGCGCTTTCAGATGCTCTTCTGCGGCCGTCTGGAACGCTCTTCCTTCCGATATTAGGAAGCCACTGGGAGCTATGCACTTTTAAATAATGTAGATTGCAAACTAATTTCTTTGGGAACTGCTTTTTGTGTTTAGTTCTTTCCCCCGCACATCTGATGAGCACTGTTGGCTATGTATGGTGTGGAAGAAGTTCAACGTACATACCTACATCCTCTAATAGCCTGCTTGCCTCTCAGCTTGAGTTGCCATTCTGGTGTCGTATTATGTATTGCTGAATTTTTTTAGGGATTAGTACAACTAAAACCCCTTCACAGAAAAAATGCCCACACGCTCTTTTCTTACTTGGGCCTATGCATAAGATTGTGAATTGTTCAAGTCGCCTTAGCACTCGGCTTAAGAAAGCCCACATTATCTCCCGTTAATGCTTGGGAAAATACATTTGACACTTCAGTATTATTGCAATACTTGTAAAATTCATAGAGTAGAAGTATTTTTGTTTTAATATTTTAGGTGAAAAGCCATTATGTTTGCTCTTATCAGGCACTGCAACTCTAATGGTTCTTGGTTTGATTGTCTCGAGGCATTTTCGTGTCAAATGGCAACAAAGCGCAAACATTATTTTAACTATTTAAGCTTCCCACACTGGAATTATAATGCTCTTTGTATTAATGCCACAGTGTTAGTATACATCGCCTGCCTGCAATGGCATTTTATTCAAAGCCTTTGTTTATGCATGTTGTGGCAATGGAAAACCCAGTAGTGTTCATGTTAAGAGTAAAAACTTGACATTACTTTATGAATGTTGAGAGCGCATTGCACACAAATCACATTCCAATATAGATTGTGATAGCTTGTACAACACTATACTAAATAACCGTAAGGACAGCAAAAAATACGATTGACAAAAATATACAATCATTAAAATATGAATTACATATTCTTCCTCCTGTATGTAATTTAAGGCCCTCTCGTGAATAAATTTTGAAATAAATGTAAGATACATTTGGCTAGAACTAAGGCAAACCACGGAGATTGCTGAGTTGTGGGCCTTTGTTAATGCAGATATGGATTAAGTCCTTCCCACATCAGGGGCTTTGTCAATTATTGAGATTGTTTGACCGTACTTGATCATACTGGTCTTTGTGAGAGGTTGTCAAAGACCAGTTTATATCACTCACCAATAATATTAGCCATGGCCAGGTGTCCAACACAGAAAACTGGGCTCATAAGGAACCAATGTGCCACTGCTGCCGCACTGTCTACTGTACAGTTCTGTATATGACATTAAATCACAGATTAATGAGCCCGGCCATGAGTCAATCAACGTATGCACGAAGAAAATAAAATTATTGTAAACAAAAATACGCCCTATTGATATGGAAATGCGATCTTTTGTAAGTGTACAATATCTCCTCTCCGGTGATGCAGACTCGGTACACGTTAGCGTGGCTCTCACACACCCAATTGTGGACAATTGTAAACTAGGCAGGTCTGCCATCCTCAATAAAACAAGCGCGGCAATCTGATTAAAATGCAACATGGCCCTTTTACTGGAAGGAGCCTGGAAGGGCTGTGTCTCATGCATTTTTCATCATTGCCCGTAGTGCACAAGCTCATTACAGTATTCCCATTTAAAGTACTTTCATTTCGTTATTTGCAATTTCAATATGAACTCGGTGCCGTTATGTCCACACATATTGCGCTTCTGCTTTACGCCTTGTGCCACATTTGTTACACGTTGGGCAGTGCGTCGTTGTGACACTTTTCGTTTGTGTTCATGCTGAACAAGCTGTGAAGATTAAATAATCATTTTCTGTTGAACTGTTCAAGTGCTGAGAGCAGGTGAGAGGAATTGAGGTCACTGGGATGTTTGCTGCCCTACTTTATTTGGTATTCAGGGAATTATGGTTTTGTGTTTTGTACATAAGGCTTTCAGCACGTTCGCTGCATCCTCAGGACACACCCCCGACACACTGGGATGGCAAGCCCATGTGGGGCAGTTTTGATGTGTGAACGCTGATGATGGAGCCATATCCTCCGAAGCACTCCTTTTGGCAGCCATAGACTACACGGGGCACAGATAGGTGCTTCAGGGCTCCTCGATGACCGTGTGGCACCAGGCTGGCAGGACCGCTGGATGGAGTGTTATCCCCTTTGGCTGACATCGCCACCAATAGTGTCGGAGGGCCTCATACAACAGTTTTTGACAAAGGGATGTAAGGTGGTATTCATCATCAGTAGCAGTAGCCATGTTGTGTCCACTGCTGGATGAAGGCCTCATGCTGTTGCCACCTTTCATTGTTTAAAGTGTTGAATCAGCATTTTCAGCCTCACCAAACTGATACATGATTTCTGGGTCCTTCAAAATTGAGTCCAATTTCCCAGAGGTTCCATATTGGCCATTGACTCAAGGGGACCACGGGCATCATTAGGGATCTGGTAAAGGGACAATACCATATCTTCACTCCAGCATCCCCACAACCCTTTCTATGTATGTATGTATTTTGAACTTCTGTCACGATAAGTGTCCACCCTTAACAGGGGGATCTTTGTACTGTAATTTTGGTTGTGGTTAATTTGATAGGTTGAGAATCCCTGCAGTGTACTAGCTTTCACGGCACATATGGGGCCATCCATTTAGTAGGTACGCAAAAATCTGTCAAAACTTGACCCCTCCCTGTACGCACGCGGACTTTTTACACCCCCCCCCCCCCACCTGCGTACGTACGCTTAACGCACCCTCCCCCCCGAATCCTATAGAACGGCCGATATTTAATCCACGCAGAACAGTCCACCGCCGGCTGCATTAAAGAATTAAGTTGCGTACCTTTAAAAAAATTGTCTCGTGTCCACTAGGTTCAAACGCCGACTGAACCCAGTCGAACAGATTACGTATTATCGGGATTTCGTCAACACGCGCAATGTCAGGCTGAAGCACAGCAGCGTGATAGCTCGCAGTCAGGGGCACGGTGGCATACAAGTGACACCTCTCCCACAGTCCCACTTCTCCTGCTAGTACTTGTCTGACAGCTGAAGAAACTGAACTGTGGCTCATTTGAAGGCCAATATAGACAAATTATTATCGAAGCTTCAACCGCTCCCCCCCCCCCCATTTTCTATGCGTACGTACATTGTCAGTAGACCCCCCATACGCAAGCGTACACATTTGGGTTAACCCCCCCTCCCCCCTCCATGCGTACTAAATGGATGGCCTCTATGCCTCAGTGGAAACACATCGGGGGAATTGTAAAGTGGCAATCGACTTTTGCTTGTGCTGTAGGTTTGCACCGAAGAACTTCTGCATGCTGTGGTGGCGTTGTACGACAGTGGTCTGCCAAATGTGGGCTCTGATGGCTTGTACTCGACCGTGTGCGCCAAAGGAACTCAAACCATCATGCTTCTCCGCAACAAGGAAGGTAATTACCCTCCAGATAAGGTTAACATGAGGCCATTTATTAGGACTGAAAATTTATTTTCAAAACAGAAGTGACTGTTGTTTTTTTCTAAGTACACTTAGGGTGCCACGGTGGTGAGTTGTTTCTTCCCTCGCCTGGTATGCAGGAGGTCGTGGGTTCGATCCCAACCTGACGTCTATATATTTGAAGTTTGTATGTTCTCTCCCCGTGATCACGTGGATTATTTCCAGGTCCTCCGGTTTTTCCCTCCGCATTTAGAATCAACGTGCATTTTGAGTATTTGGCGGCTATACATTTCCACATGATAATCCACTTCGTTGGGCTATCATTTGTGGCCACGTCGTTACTGAAAAGGAGCTATATAGCTCAGTGGGCCTTATCTGGTAAAATAAAAAAAATAAAAAGTAACTTTTTGGTGATTTAAAACAAGCTTAATTATTGTGATCTTTGGGACATCTACCTTAGCGAAGGACATTTCAGGATTAATCACATTTATATATTACGAGTTCATGAAGCCTGTCTTCGCCAGGCAAAAGTTTTCAATAATGAACCTGATATGATTTTTGACAATTTTATCTGCGATCAGACACTAAGAACTACAAAAATGTATATTTTTCCGCAAAAAGAACATTGTTGACGACTTGATTCTAACTTTTTATATTTAAAGATGTACCCATCGGAAACTGCTCAATTTTAAGATTCCATCCTTTTTTTTATTAGAAAGAACACACATTTATGAACTCAATATTCTGACGGGAGCTCCGATTCTTTACTGTTTTCTAATTATTCAGATTTTAACATGAAATAAATGTTTCGTTCAAAACCGCTTTAATTCGAAATATCGAGAAAACAATAGATAGAACAATGGTTCTCGCTTTAATTGTATTTACTGCTTAATGGTTTCTAAATGACACGCACAAATATGTTTATGGGGCACTTAAAAATTTAGGGGCCTTAAAATGAAAAATATCGGATTTTCAGAGTCGTACTGTTGTTTGTGTCGTAAAAGCTATCTATTTACCAAATTGCAGCTTTCTACCTTGTCGGGAAGTACCCTAGAGGTTTATGAGACATAGACATACAGATTAAGGTCATTACTTATATAGATGATACTTACATCTTTTTCTGTTTTTCAGTTTGTGCTGTTGGCAACCTGGCTGTATCTAACCTTAACTTTAGCTGCTTCCATTGGTAAAATTATCGTGACATAAAGACGAATGCATTATCTGCAAGTAAAAAACTACTTCTGTGAAGCAGTTGTTTCTAAAAAAAAACATGCATACATACATACCAACAGGTCTGTGTAACTGTGACTATGAAAACCACAAAGGCTGCATTCAAAGGGTGTGCTTGGTACTTGGCAACAGCTGAACGATACAACCTGAAACCTCTGATAGATTTCCTTTAATTGTCGTGTTGTGCAGATGGCCAGGAGTCTAATTTAATATCCTGTCCACTAATGCATGTATTATTGAGTGATCTCTCCAACGTCTGCTTATAAAGGTCACAAAAGACTTTGCCTTAATTATGAATCTGTGGCAACGTTTGTGACGTCGGTGAAATTATGGACAGACTAATGATCATTAATGATATCACGATGTTTGCTTCCTAGAGCTTTCATGCAACCCTTGCTCGATTAACTGGTAATTTAATACCATTTTCAATGTGATGCAACATAAATCGCAAAAGCTCTGAAGTGCTAATTATCCTTTAAGACGGGGAACAACATTATACACATATACAGTGATGTTCAACTGGGTACTCCACCTGCTTTTTTTTAGCAGTATACAAAAGCGAAATCTTATTTAGTAAAAACTGAACAGTTGTGTTTGGGAGGGTAATGAGAACAGCAGGAGGGGGGTCAAACATTCCTCACCTCTCACAAAAACATGTGGGCTGTGTAAAACGCATTCAAGGAAGCCACTGGAGCTATGGATTTTAAAATCTATATTGAAAACTAATTTCTTTAGAACTAAAATTTCGATTTAAAGCTTTCGTGACTGCAGGGATTCATCTTCTTGGTTCTTTCGGTAAAGTCACGTAGAAGGGAAATAATAAAATAATAAAAAGAAAACATAATAAAATATTTCTCACGACGTTTCGGCCACAACGCAAGCAGCCGTCCTCAGGTGAAGAACAGGTCTGTCGGAAAGACAGCGTCTGAATGAAACACCACCAGGCTTGGAGCGTATATTTAAGCTGGGTTGGAGGGGGAAGAGCGCCTTGACAAAATAATTTGCATATCAAGAGGCATTTAGCATATTTATGGGAAATGCAGATATGGTATTAGAACTACTTTCTGTATTTAGTTTGTTGTCCTTCCCCCGCACCTGCGATTAGCTCAGTTTGGCTACGTACGGTGCGAAAGAAGTTCAACATACTGTACATAAACGAGTGAAGTACAGTACTGCATGCCCATTTTGATATGACCATCTTACACACATTCACATATTTTACATTTTAACAGAAATACGGATAGAATCATACACTTTTACAGCACGGGTACACTTTAACATTTTGACTTGTGCCATATTGAGGAGCCAGTGGTGAACTTTGTGTGGTATCATTTTAAATCCATACCTTTATGCAGACTATCTTTAATTGGCTAAATACAAATTCTGATTTTGAAGTCAGCATGGTGATGAAGAGCTGAGTTATTGGCCCACACAAGAAAATGTCAAAATACTCTGTCATACAAAGGACACCCTATATTTCTGTAAATTAAATTTTCATCATATATTTGCATTTGTGGGAACGTCACAAACATTAATTTAGCAGTTTTTCAACACAATCTCAATCCCGCTTTATGCACTTGCAACGTGGATGGATTCACAACCACGATTTTTGAATGGCATCCTGTGCAGCGACAGTGTGTGATTTTCAAAATGTTGCTCAGGTAAGCCATCGTTCAAAGGGCCAAACAGAAAATATTCGGATGGTGCCAGAACTCGGCTATATTATGGATCGGGCAGTGCAGTCCACTCAACTGTGGCCTTTCATGTTCTGAGGCTTTCTGTAGCCTAGAGTTGTTATAAAAAGCACTTAAACCTTTGTGTATTATACACAAATTGGCCTGCAGATTGTTTCTGTTATGATGGCTTTTTTGTCATTTATATAATTGATTGGAATGTTCATGTTGGAGGGAAATGTATGTGTATCAAATTTTAAAAGGAAGAAACAAAAAATATTTGAAATAATATGGCAGGTATTTCTTTCAGGGTATCCCTCCTACATTAATATTGTTAATTTAAGATATGTATGTATAGCCAACACACTCACTTGGGTAACCAAAGCATTTATAATCAGTATATCGGAACAAAACTTATGTAATCTGAAAGTCACGTATTTGTGTGTATATATGTACGTGTGGATTTTGTTGAATGGAAACACTTTGCTTGGCGCAATCACCATTGCAGAATCACTGCCACTTAGTGGCGAATGGCGGTTGTTTTTGTGTGATTAATGGTGTGGGTGGTTAGCTCACAATGCTGTGATACCAGCCACTCGTGGCCCATTTTGGCCATGCTTATCAGGACCAGTTAGCATATGGATACTGTGTTTTAGAGCCCCACACAAAAGTTAGCAAACTAATGGCACATTACTCCTAGGAAGAACAGATGTGCAAGGCAGTAATGGTCTCTCTGGGACTGGCTGGTAATAATGCTGCAGTATACTGTTTGTGTTTGCATGTATTACATTTGTTGATATGTAAACATACTATATTGTCCTGTATGTATTCATCGGTGTATATTAGAATCTTTAAAAAAAGTAATGCTTCCTATGCTTTCAATGCAGAACATGCTTAAATGTGTACAAATTCAAGGTTGGTGAGCCTTTCATTGGCGAGTACTTTATATAGGTTATTCATATTGATAAATCGTTAATAGGTTAATTAAAACATGTTTTCCACAATGGAAACATACTTTGCAGTATATTTTTGTGTGGTGTATATACAGTGAGTATGTCTTAACAGTCCAGTAGATCAATTACATGGACATAGGCTAATGAATTTGCTGACATAAATAACACTGGTCAACACACTTTTTCTGGCATAAGGTATTCCAACGGTTTTAAGGTAATTTTGGGGTGCTGATTCCAAATTTGTCATCAGTTTTTGTCTATCACATCAGGTTTATGAGATATCAAATATTGCATTTTCAATAAAAACTGCCGAAGAAAAATATTAAATAAATGTGGATATCTACATATAATGATATTATAAACACACTATCCTAAAAATACAGCACCATATTTTAACACTAAAGCAGTCACTGACTCGCAACAACCTGCAATCATAAGTGACAGAGTTAATTTCGGGTAAAATCAATGAAAATGGGGTATGCCGATAGCATAAAAGTTGACCAGTGTAATTAATATGTTAAAAATACATATATTTCAAACTATTGCACAGCGGAGAAAAGTAATGTATCTGCACAATGCATAAACTGATCTGCATACATGTCTTCATTGACTCTTCTATATTTCTTGCAGCTTGTATTAAATTGGAACTTATTAAATTTATTAAAACACCCTCAGGTTAGCACATATAGTTGTGAATACACTCTAATAATTTGTGTTCATTTTGTCAAGTTACGTGTTCAAACTAAGGTCCGTTAATTGTAATTTTTAATATGTACCAGCATTGCTTGGTCAGTAATTGTAATACTAGCATAGCTGAAAAAATGATTTCGTTGATAAATTGCATATGGTACAAATAATGCCAACTGGAAATATGTATTAACTTCAGAAATAGAGGGCCGCAACGACCACATCACTGGGAAATTTGAATTCAAATGGTCACAGCAGTTGAGGCACAAATCAACAACATGCAATAGGAAATGGTTTAATTATTGAAACAGTCTCTGAGCCACACTCCATCTTCATTCTGCTTCGTTTTCTTCTGCGACATATATTGTACAGAACGACTAAAACTGCCTTTTGAATTAATGCATATTTAAACTGGTTCCATGCAGTCTTATGGTACTACTAATACAAATACT